CGCTTGACCCGAGGATCGAGTCGCACGCCCGGCCACTGGGTGGCCTCGCCGAGCCGTCGTTCCACCCGCTCGAAAACTGCGACACCCAATCCGCGACAACATGCCATGCAGCTCCACGGGCTAATGTTTATGTATTAATGGGGTAATGCGTAGCGTGTGTACGTTACGCAACGCGTGAACGCGTTGATGCCTTAAATAATTAAACGACGTTGCCACCTCTGCATCAATTCCCTGTCCCGGGGATCGAACTCGCGGATTGGAACCCCGGGTGGCCGATGACGTCATCGCAGTTGCACCCTGAGCATCGCCGTCATTGCTGGTCATCGTGATTGTCCGGTGTCTATCCACCGCTGGATGAACGCCTCCCCACGCCGTCTCGCTCCATCGGACGCGTTTTTTTTTCCCTCTCTTTGGCTGCCGTTCCGTAACCAGTCTCGCCACACGAACCATCGTCACGTGCAAGAGATGCGGCCTACCCGAGCCCAATTGCTTTGCTCAGTGTGCCAACCCGATGTCTCTTGAGTTGTGCTCGTTCCCCGATCCCTCGTTCTTGTGTTCAGGCAGTGAACAAGTCAAGGCCGGCATATAACGTTCCAGTTTAAGAAGGTCCCGCAATTTAGATGATTGGCACGTTTAATTTGTGTTCCTTTGGCAGTTGTTAGGTCAAACTGAAATGCCGTACCGAATTGAGAGAGAGAGACAGAGAAAAAAAAGTCCAACTCAAATTAGAACAGCAATAGATGTGGTCTGTTTTGTATCGAAGACGCGATGCAGCTATCATCAGTGGGTGATTAAGCACAGACCGCAGTCCAATTGCGGTCACCAGTCTCAAACCACGAGCCGCTTAGAAACACCGCTGCCAACTGAGATCACTCTATGGGCGCTTTGTGAGCCATTGACACTCCATGTGAGTCTGTGAGTCTCTTTGCGAATCTATGGGTCTCTGTGTGAGTCTATGGGTCTCTGTGTGAGTCTATGGGTCTCTGTGTGAGTCTATGGGTTTCTGTGTGAGTCTATGGGTCTCTGTGTGAGTCTATGGGTCTCTGTGCGAGTCTATGGGTCTCTGTGCGAGTCTATGGGTCTCTGTGCGAGTCTATGGGTCTCTGTGCGAGTCTATGGGTCTCTGTGCGAGTCTATGGGTCTCTGTGCGAGTCTATGGGTCTCTGTGCGAGTCTATGGGTCTCTGTGCGAGTCTATGGGTCTCTGTGCGAGTCTATGGGTCTCTGTGCGAGTCTATGGGTCTCTGTGCGAGTCTATGGGTCTCTGTGCGAGTTTATGGGTCTCTGTGCGAGTCTATGGGTCTCTGTGCGAGCCTATGGGTCTCTGTGCGAGTCTATGGGTCTCTGTGCGAGTCTATGGGTCTCTGTGCGAGTCTATGGGTCTCTGTGCGAGTCTATGGGTCTCTGTGCGAGTCTATGGGTCTCTGTGCGAGTATATGGGTCGCTGTGTGAGTCTATGGGTCTCTGTGTGAGTCTATGGGACTCTGTGCGAGTCTATGGGTCTCTGTGTGAGTCTATGGGTCTCTGTGTGAATCTACGGGTCTCTGTGTGAGTCTATGGGTCTCTGTGTGAGTCTATGGGTCTCTTTGCGAGTCTATGGGTCTCTGCGTGAGTCTATGATTCGCCACGCGAGCCTCTGTCTCAAACCCGTGGATCGCACAGTGACGCCTCTGGCCACGTTGATCGTTCGCCGGCAGGGTGTATGATATTCACCACGAGGCTACTGCTGAAGCCGTCCATTGGCTTCAGTTTCACTCACCAACCTCGACACGACCACACACACACACGTGACTGATCAACTCGTCACATTACGAAGGATGATCAAAGCTGTTCAGAACGGAACAGATTTTTGGTCTGAACACTGTGGGTACGAGACCCGCCCTCCCCCCCCCACACGGCCATCATAGGGGGTGGGCGGGAGAGGAGGTGTCTCATTCTGATTTAAGAATATATTCTTTTTTTACATTGTGGAAAATATCGCGGTCTGTAGTGGTTGCAGGGGTCAGGTTGGATACATGTCTTATCTCATCCGAAAGTGCCCCATCATTTCACTCGCGTTGTCAATTTGGGATTTCTGTTTCGTCAGCGTCTTTAAAACTAAACTTAGCATTTTAGCAGGTAAGGCCCACTGAGCTATATAGTTATTTTTTTTTTATCAGATCGCGAGCTGGCCACAAATGATAGCCCAACGAAGTGTCTGCTTACGTGGACATTTATAGCAGCCAAATACTCTAAAACGCACGTGGATTCTAAATGTGGAGAGGGGAAAAAACCGAAGGACCCGATAAAAAAAATCCACGCGACCACGGGGCAGAGAGACGCAAACTCCAAATATACAGCAGGATCGAACCCACGTCCCTCCTGCACACCAGGCGAGGTAGTTAACGTCTCCTAGCCACCACGGCGTCTTTGATTCCCGACCGAGGTCAACGTCAGTGGTGAGTGCCATCTGAGCCGCACTGGCCGGCCTGGTGAGGTCAAACGACCCACCATAGACATCCAACATTGGAAAAGGGCCATGACACAGTTTGCTAACGGTGTATCTCAAATATGCATCTACAATTACACGATTACAGCCTTGTTTTCACCAGTACACCGACACGCATAGAATTATACTCTCGTTACTATCGCGTTTTACGCATATAGTAAGACTCGCGCTTATAACAAATACGGATCGTGGCCGATTATTTGCCCAGAAAAGCCTCACCGAGTCTCAAGACTCGTGATCAGGTCGGGTCCAGCTACGTTGGGAATATTTGGCCAACTGGATTGATGAGAGAGAGTTGTGGCTTCAACAACGTGGCAGGAGACCGGAGAAACCCCGGAGAAAACCCTAAATGGGAACGAGGGGGTGGTGACAATCCAGCACCACCTGGCCACGTACAGCAGCCTCCACGCATACGACACCTGGCAAGCCACCGCACATTCATATTAAGGACTAACCAGGTTTAAAAACAAAAAAATATAACAACACCTGCTTAGCTTCTGCGATCTGCCGAGATCGCACGGCAATTGTCGGCGATTCCCCGAAGTCGACACGGAACGTCGGGAACAGAAACGCCGCTCCGAACGTTCGGTGCATCAACTTGGGCGGCGATTCACTGGGGGCGGCGGCGGCAGCGGCGGTAGCTGCGGCGTCGCCCGTTCCGAATCAAGGCGATTCATTGCCGCGCGCGAGCACCCCAATCACACGCCACAAATTATTGTCCGGCTGTCTTAAATAACGCGCGTTGGGCGAGTTCTGTGCGTTCGGCGAGCTCTCGTTAAAGGGGCACCGCGAACTCGCGCCACGTTGCATTCTCGCCCAGCCGGGCACGCAGAGGCGCAGCCGCCCAGATGCCCGGGATGAAGCGTCCGCTGTTCGCGCCGGGCGCTGTGTGCGAGCGGCTATCGAGGTCGGCACAGCTCCCCCCCGACCCCACCCCCCTTTCCCTCTACTGATATTTGCCCATCGCTCTCGGTATGTATTTAAGGCCGAGTTGACCTAGGGGTGGCCCGGGAACACGCAATGTTCGGATCGCACGATAGCCCGCGCCACTGATGTCGTTCACCGCGTCTTGGAAATCGAACCCGGGTAGCCAATATTATAAAACTGCCGCATGTAAGAGTACCGCATAGCATTGCATCGCTCCCTCACTCGACCCTACAATTGTACAAAGTGCTGCCGTGATCGAGCACCGATTCCGAAAAATCCAGCTCCGCCCGCTAGCCGATGAGAAGATAGAACCAGCAGCCGCGACCGGCCGTCTTTGTCTCCCCAAGAACACGACCGGGCTGCCAGCGGGGCACGCATGACCACACTCCAAGTTTAACTCGTACCCTGCCCACCTGGAAGTCTGCACGCCAGCTGTGAGCCCCCACTCTCCGTGATCAGCACCAGCAGAGCCCTTGCTGCTGCTGCTGTTGCTGATGATGATGACGACGATTGTGTCTTGCCCTTGCTCGCGTCGTTCCCTGACTGGTTCTTGTGGCTCCTGTGCGGCTGCCGGTGCTGTGCTCACAGTGCTGCCGTTGTGATATGCTGGTGCCGGCTGATGATGGTTACTTGCTGTGCAATTCTGCTGATGATGACGGCGGCGGCGGTGGTGGTGGTGGTGATGTGACACTTCAATTCTGCTGCCGCTGTCACTGATAACGATGGTGGCGGTGACCGGCTGTTCAATAACACTGCTGCTGATGATGATGGTTCTGGTTGGTCGAAATTCCTGCCCCTGGCATCTCTTACTCGTGGCAATAATTCTGGCTGTTGCCGATGCGTACAGCTGGTGGCTTACCTGCGACGGTGTGAACTGCTGGTCTTTCAATTGCCAGGCTGCTGCAGGTTGGAACGATGTTGCCCAAGTCTCGCTGCTCTTAAGTCAGAGGGTAATTGTTGCCGCTGTTGCTGTTGCAGACGATAACGCTGTTTGCTGGCTTGCGATTGCTGCTGCTATTTAGGTGTTGCTGCTGATGAATTATGCTTCCACTGCTGCTGCTGTTATTACTAATGATGCTTGTGATGATGATTAATGCTGCTGCTGATGAATGTCGCTATTGTTGAGCGTTGATGACTTGCTGCTACCGGTCGTGCGCTGTTTATGAATTTAATGTAATTGTTTGCTGCTGATGATTTAAGCTACTGCTTCTGCTGCCTACTGCTGCTGATGATTTAAGCTTCTGCTGCGAGTGCTGGTGGTGGTGCCCAGACCTCCCTCTGCACAGCTCCTTCTCGTCACCACTGGTCCCTTCTTACGTGAACGCACACAGCACTCATGAGGATGGGAGCTTAGGGAGAGGTGAGAGCGGCGGAGAGAGGGGGAGAGGGAGGGAGGGTGGGTGGGTGGGAGATTGGGAAATAGGGGGGAGGAGGGAAGGAGGGAGGATGGAGGAGAGGTGAAGAGAGGGGGAGGGAAATTGAGAGAGGGAGGGATTGAGACGGATGAAGACATGGAGAGGTGGGAGAGAGAAAGGGAGGGAGCCGATGAGAGGGATGGCGAGAGGGAGGGATGGAGTGATTGAGAGAAGGGGATAGAGGAGGACGAGATGGGGGGCGGGGGGAGCTGCGGGCGACAGGTTTCTATTTAAAGACGAAATATAAAAAAACCCTACACACACACAGACACACACAGACACGCACGCAATACGAGTTAAATAAAGAATTAAAGAGCGCACTGCGCAGAGCTGCGTGCTCAGTGCAGATCAGAATTCTCGTGTTGAAAAAAACATCAGCGACAGCTTTGGTGAGCCTCGTTCACCGGAAGACATCGCCCTTGCGAACCAGAAGACAATATCCACGTTGTTAGATATAGACATGATATATATATAGATGTGCTTTCTATATATAGATCATTATCACACAGCACGGGGAAGGCCCTGAAGCATCAGCGGAGTGGTAAAGGGGCTGCACGTGCATGCACGTGCACGTAAATGAACGTATGTGCACGTGCGTTAATTTATGTTCACGCGATAACAGCCGGAATCTGCGCGTGGGAAGGCTGCTTCTGCTGCTGCTGCAGGCTGCAGGCTGGAGTGGATTGGGCAAACAGCCCTGAGCGTTGCAGCGAGCCTAACCCTGCTGACGAGACGCTGCGTGTCAAAAACAGGGGCAGAGTTGAGTCCGTACGTGGTGGATTCAACGCGGCTCAGATTAGGGGGCCGTGCGGCTGATGGGTTGCGTCAGAACTACTTGGGTGATGTTGTGTGTTCTCGCGGAGGGACGGGGACGTGATGGAGAGATCGTCGATCTGGACCTACGCAGCAGCGTGGCTCTCTCCTCTGCGGGTTTTTTGGTTGTTCCGCGATGTCGTTCGTTGTTCGGCGTGATGTGTCCGACGTTTCGCCCCACGTGCTGGGGAGCTTTTTCAGGAATTTAACCGGGTATATGTTTCTGAACTGTTCAGCCGGTTTCCCGATTTTTTTTTTCTCTCTCTCTCTCTCTTCAGGCAATGAATAAATCACTTCCTGGAGAAGCTCCCGGCACGTGCAAGCGGAACGTCGGACATCGTGCCGAATTCCGCGCGCGGGGTAATGACCGAATGCCATACTGGACAGCAGCACAGCACCACATCCGTCGCAGACACACGCGGCAAGCCAGTGCGTTGAGACGTCAGGAATCCCGGGGATAGTCTGGCCACCGCCATAGGACTGTCGAATTTCCACCACTGGCGCAAGTCCGTTTGAGACGGGGGGGGGGGGGGAGTGGCACGTGGCGAGTGTTGTGCCACATGCACGGCCGCGTTTTGTCAATCCACTGCTGGATGAAGGCCTCACTGCGGCGGTCACGAGGGTTGTTCCGACCATACTTCACCACGCTGGTCAGTGCGGGTCGGCGAAGGCTGTGTGATACCACAATGCTCACGTGGTAGTCTCGGGCTGTGTTCATTATAATGGGGGAGAACAATTTAATGATACCCTTAGAAAATGCAAATGAAACGGCAGCGGACCTTTCGAGCAAACGATGGCACCTTGGGTCATCGTGACCTACAATTATGCTGCACGGTTAAACAAAACAGGTAAATAGTTTATTTTGCCAATGTTTTAAAAATGATGCATCATGACCACAGATGCTAGATGCAGACGGTGCCGTGGTTGTAACAGTTGGAGTTTCAATCCAGATGTTGCCGGTTCGATTCCATCTCCCGGTGCGGTAGCTGAAACAGCGGGGGAAAGAGTTTCTCAATCACCCCCCCCCACGCCGCCTCCATACCCAGCAGTAGACGTGGGGTCACCACAGCCAATCACGCGCTATCGGCAGGTCGTGTGTGGTAAGGGTAAAGTGTGGGTACTCCCACCTCTTACAAGAAGTAGGGCGAACGTGGAAGGGGAATCGTTGGGCGACGTGCCCTCTTAAGAGGCGCTCTCTGCAACGTTATCTCCCGGTTGAGATTATTTTTTGCCAGGGATGGCGTGTGCAGTAAATTGCAGGGCTGCGCATTTTTGTAACGTTCATTGGCCGTTATGAGACACGCTGAGGGAGATGCACGCGTTTAGCACGGCGCGTTCTGAAATTCCCAAATAAAAAAATGCAAGCTCTGTAAATATTCTTGATATTGACGGGTACTTTGGATTGACATGTCAAAGTCAGTGGTTCTGGGTTCCTCCTTTGCTGCTTCTCTTATTAGGGCGCCGCAGTGACGAGATGTTAACTACCTCGCCTGGTATACAGGAGGTCGTGGGTTCGATCCTGACCCTGACGCCTGCTGTATATTTGGAGTTGGCATGTTCTCCCCGTGGACTCGTGGATTTTTCTCTGCGTTCTCCGGGTTTCCCCTCCACATTTAGGATCAACATCTATAATTTCCACGCCATAAGCCACTTCGTTGGCCTATCATTTGTGGCCAGGTCACTTCTGAAAAATACTTTTATATCTCAGTGGGTCCTACCTGGTACAATAAAAAAAACTAATTTTATTTGGTCGACTATTCCACGTTAACCAGATGTCTTGGAAGAGAGAATCCGTAGGGAGGCAAAAGTTTTTAGTATATCGGTGACAGTTTGGACACCGAAGGAGGGTGGCAGTTTCCGAAATTAACTAAAACACCGAAGCGAGATGCAGCACGCATAATAACTCAGTTAATTTAAGCCCCCCCCCAACCCCCCGGCACCCCCCCCCCCCGTGTATGACGAGAACATCGGTGGATGATGTTGAGCCATCATCCACCGTATTTCAAAAGCGAACTCGCGCAGGCAAAAATGGGCACTCGCGTAGCAAAGGATGAACCCCACACACCGTACTATCTGATGAACGGCACGGGATACGTGGCAGCGGTGGTAGTAATAATACATATGTAATTTTACACCTCCGTTCCGTGATTGTGATGGTAATGTCGGTGCTGACGTATTTTGTCTATTTAAGCAGATAATTGTATGCAGGAAACGGGGAGGGTGGCCACTAGAGGGATACGCTCGACAATGTACACATACAAAAAAAGCAGCAAGTCATTAACATGTGGGCTTATATTAGTGCGAGACGAGGCCAGGTTGACAACACCAAAAATATTATCAAAGGACAGAATAGATGAAAGCCATTTGAGGGTTGGAACGGACGGAATCAAATGACGTGGCTTGTACCACGTGGGGGGGCCGCATCTCCAAATGCGTCCCGCGGTGGGTTAGCTGCGAGCAGACGGATCGATGTCGGGATGGGTCGATGTCCCTTTCTTTAACCAGGTGGGATCTCGCCGAGACTCACAACGCCTTTGGTGGAGCCCCTTTATTTTGGCACGTTGAGATGACCGCCCGTCATCGAGGTCCTGTATTTACGTGGGCGAGCGCATGATGCGAGTGGCGCCGTCGAGATTTCGTCCCACGAATCTCGACGGTGAATTGTCACGGTTAAAAAAGGGCAAAATGCTACAAGGGTAAAATAAATAAAAAATAGTGCGTCTAGTAGATTTGTAGTTTTCGTGACTGCAGGGATCCACTCTTTGGTTCTTTCGGTAAAGTCACGTAGGTATAAAATATTTTAAAAATATAAAATAAATTGAATCACGTTTCGATTGCAACATAAGCAATCGTCACAGAACTATAGCAAACAAAATGTCTTGCTGTAGTTCTCACACCTGATGATGATTGCTTATGTTGCAATCGAAACGTCGTGATTCAATTTATTTTATATATATTGTACATATTATACCTACGTGACTTTACCGAAAGAACCAACGAGTATAGTGCCTCCAGTGTCAGCAGTAAACCCATTACACATACGAGTTGAAACACATTGATTCCGACACAAATTAATGCGCGTCCGTGAACTTACGAATCAATATTAATTGATGAATGTATGTATGTATGCAGGGTCGTCCCTGGGTGTGGAAGGGGTGCGGGGTCCACTCGACGCCTCCAAACTAAACCGGAAGTACCCCATCTGACACCGTAATGTCAAAGCGCGGGGCCCCCCCAAAGTAAGGGGCCCGGGGCGGTCACCTCCCATTCGCCGTACCCTCCGAATTTACGTATCGTTAAACCTCGACTGAACAATGGAACGGTTGGTGCACTGTGCTCGGACCCGAATTTCCATTCCGGGCCACTGCAAACATCAGTGTCGAGTGAAATCCACCTAACGGAAAATAGCCATTGCGATTAAATATGGTCAAACAACCCCCCAATGAGCGACGGGTTATGGGAGAGGGACTGCATACAACATCCAGCACTGGATTGGACGCAAACAAATTTTAGCCGCGTTTTGTAAATTGCTTTCAGGTATAGTGAGTGGCCGGTTACACAAACCAAAGTGGAAATGTTCCATTGGCTATCCGAGCTGCCTTGTGACAAAAAACAAAACGATCTTCTCTCTTTGGAGATTCACGACTTGATAGATGAAAAAAAAAACGGTCAAAAGCGCATTTGCCTCGGAGATTCGCCCCGCTGATTGTTCTGTTGATGCCTCTCCTTCCCCAATTTTATTCTGTGCCATCGGCGTCGCATTACGAGACGAGAGGCGTCCGTTCGGGAACGCTTTGCTATCGGCAAAAACAGCGAGTCCCCGAATCACCATCTCAAATCCACATTTTCGAATGACTATACAGTGAAACCTTGGATTGCGAGCATAATTCGTTCCGGAAACGTGTTTGTAATCCAACGCACTCGTGTATCAAAGCACTCGTATATCAGTTGTGATCACGTGACGCTCTGCAGACATAAGCGTACACGTACACTACTCGTATTGCAAGACCCTCGCTCGTTTATCAAATTAATATTTATTTTAAAATTTTGCTCGTCTTGCAAAAACACTCGCATACCAAGTTACTCGCAATCCAAGGTTTTACTGTATTTTTTGTATCCACCCACCAGGGGACGCACTTTCCCACGACTCCCCTCTTTTTGACAAACATTCGTAGCGTGGCTATCAATGTTTCAATTCCCAGTGCCAAATTTATCCAAATGACGGTGTAAATACCGTATAATTACAAAAAAACTATTGCTGTTGTGTGTAGTCGCCTGGTGACCCAGCTACCAACTTCAACTTTAAACTCAACGCGTTTGTCAAAAACGCATTACTGTCGAACGAGTGGTATTATTTGTGCTCGGGCAGCACTGCCCAACGCAGTATCGTTAAATATTTGGTTTCATCATCAGTGGTTACACGCGATAACCCGACTTAACCACGGGTAGTTTAAATGTGGATAGTCCAGTGCTAGATATTAGTCAATACTGCTCCTCGAGCTGCAATGAAGAGGAGCCATTGCCCAAAACATCGGACAACTGTACATTTTTTTCTGTTGAGACTGTGAATAATAGCGACTCTTTGGCGTGTTTTATTTATGTATTTAAAAGTTAAAACAAAAGCTGCAAACTAAAACACACTCCTTGCAAGGAGATTCACACCCGAGATCTTTCGTGCCAACGAGGCAAGCCACTTAAATGTTTATTCAGGGTCTTTGTGCACGTTAGACAAAATCACTTTAATTGCGATAACCAATAAAGCGAATGCAGTAAACATCACCACACCGTTAAATCATGTTGCACCACGAATCAGTGGCAGGACAGCACAATGTCGCATATCCGACTCGCTCGCCGAGGAATGTAAAAAGGTCGTATCCGTGAACATCGCAGTCGGCGCAAGCGATTCATTGGTCAGGGCGGATATGCGACAGTTGGATAGGCGACACTACCATGCAAATGTACTTATTTGATAACCATCCCGCGTAATATTCCAAAATATATTAGTATGTACCACCATCACCGAGTTACCGTCACCACCAACATACTCATGGCAGGCACAGCAAAGTAACGTTCCAATGTTAATAGGGTTTCCACATGTTTTCTGGCAACAAAACAGGTGTTAAGATACATATTCTTGGTTGTTTAGGTAAAGTCACGTAGAAGGGAAACAATGAATACAAATATAAAACCAAAAAAATTATCACGTTTCGACTGCAACACAAGCAATCATCATCAGCTGTGAAAACCACAGCAAGAAAATGTATATTTTTATTATTTTATTGTTTCCCTTCTACGTGACTTTACCGAAAGAAACAAGAATATGAATCCCTGCAGTCACGAAAGCTTTAAATCAAGGTGTTAATTTGTTAAAACACCAAACTGAAACATTTTACAAGGAATCATGTCTGAATTAACCACAATGCTTGTGGTCAGAATGAAAACAAAAAACATACTCCGTTTGTATTCTGACCACAAGCATTCTGGTTAATGCAGACATGATTCCTTGTAAAAGGTTTCAGTTTGGTGTTTTAACATCTTAACACCTATATTCTTAGTTATTTCGGTAAAGTCACGTAGAAGGGAAACAATAAAATAATAATATAAAACAATAAAATTCTCACGACGTTTCGACTACAACACAAGCAATCATCATCAGGTGTGAAAACCACAACAATAATTATTTTTCAAAATTTTCTTGTGATTTCACGCCTGATGATGATTGCTTGTGTTGCAGTCGAAACGTCGTGAGAATTTCATTTTTTATATTTTAAAATTTTGTTTCCCTTCTACGTGACTTTGCCGAAAGAACCAAGAATATGAATCCCTGCAGTCACGAAAGCTTTAAATCAAAAAGAGGTGATCCTCATACTCGCGTGACCTTGCAAGAGTTAACTGGTTTAAGGCTATATGACTGCCCATGAAAAGTGGTGTCAGTGCCACGTTTTAGTTAAGTGTGTTGGATCAACACTGTTGTCGAGGAAATGGTGCTAGAATGATCGAAGCTGTAAGATTATAAGTCAGGAAGATATCATTCACTGGAACCAGTGGATTAATGATGTTAAAGGGTCGAAGTTAGAATTCGAGACTAGTTCAACTCAACTCCACCATCACTGCTAGCCATATAACAACTCAGTCCCCATTACCTAACAGCAATTTGTTTTACCAGGGTCCCACATTAACGGAATTAGAAGCGTGGGACACAGGAAACCTGATAATTGCAAACATGTAACACAATGATCAGCTCTTATGCACGTGCATAACGTAAAAAAACAATCCCATTCCACTGCCGCGTCAAATGCGCCTGGATTGCTCGCGTCATTCCGTTACCGCGGAAGTGACCCGTATTCACCATGCCTCTCTACCCGGTTTCTCTCATCAACAGCCACACACGAAGCCGGTCTAAAGCGGGGAGGGGGGTGGAATGTAGATTGGACTGGCTGTACTGCCTCGATAGTGTACCACCTGCCATTGGTCAAACAAATAAACAACAAAACAATGCAAGCGAATTCAGTGACCGCCATTGACAGTGCCGTACAATCACAAATGACCGACGCGAAGCTCACCGCCTTCATTATTCACACTGCCCTGTGACAAAACATCATTTAGCAGGCCACCGAGCTTTCGGGAAATGCACAATTAAGACGATTTTTTTTTATTCTGCAAACCAAGCCAGCGTGGCAAGCACAGCACGTGATCGAAGGCCGCTGCTGCCCCGTGGCACGACTGCACATCAAAAGAGCCGGCGGCGAACCGTTGCTTGTCCTCTGGAGGGTGTACAGATAAGGGTGCAGCGCTGCAATTTCCTGCCCATGCCACTGCAGGCAGAAGAGCCTCTGCGACATGGAGCTCTGGAGAAGCCATCGTAGCGGGTAGCTTGGCCTCCCCTTCCATGCTGGCAAGCGACATTTTTTTACGTTGCATAATGAACGGGACACAGCGGATCCATTCATTTGTCCTGTCGATCGTCTACGGAGTGGCGAACCCATTTTATACTGCTGGCTGAACAGAGGCGGTTGGGGGGTTGCGTTTAAGAAACTTGTCCCCCGTTGTTTCATGCTTTGATTGCGGCCACGGGAACATCTAATGGGGCGACCCCTGCAGGTTGCAAGTCCAGTGCGCCGACCGTCACCCTGCCCGCGGCAGCGTCCATGAGGGTGCGAAGGGCAGTGCAATCTATTACGATCTATCGTGGAGGAGGCTCGTGAAGGACGCTGCTCCTGGTCATTTGGAGGCAGTCGCCCTCCAACAACAACGGAGGGCAGAGGAGCGGGAGCGCCGGGTGGCTAAAATGGCACAGTTGGGGGACACAGGTGGTGCATCTGCCAGTCGTCATCTCAGTCAGCCAACCCACAGTACCTGGGTCTATCCCGTGACCTCCTGCCAGCGAGCCTTCGACACTTCACGTGGCCTCAAAGTGCACCTGGCCTGGCACAGGCGCCGTGGTGACGTCACCATCACTTAGTGACGAATCGTGGGTGTTGGTAATCTATCAGAGAAGGCAGCTGCAGTACGGTGACAGCTGCATGAGTCATGGCAACATTCACCCATGGATGGAACAGCTGCCCCATTCATTATGCGACATTTACCAACAATGCACTGCCATAGGTTACAGAATTGTTGCAAGTCTTTAAAGCTTATTTATTATAGCTCAGAAGAAGGTCTTCTGTCTACTACGATACGGTCAACTGCCGATTCTGTGGTAAAGTAGCGGTGACTCAGATAAAACAGAAGTGAAGATGATGCAATACATTCGTGAGTTAGGTAACAATTGTGTAAATATAACGCGTAGGCTTTATCATGATTCATAATTCTGGCCAGAACTGCCTGGTGATGCTAGACATGACTGTCTGTGAAACCTGCGCACCCAATTGTTAAATCTTGTGAGATTTCTCTCCAACACCACTTGGAGGTGCTGCCAAAGCATAAATAAGTTGGCACGTTTGGTCACGCGGCGTCTTTATTAATTGGCTGCGTTGGGTGGAGGAGGGTTCACGACGCACATTTCACTCACGCAGTGATCCAACCCAAAAATCAACTGTAAATCTTAAAAAGGACGTTGAGGATCGTTTTCCTAGAACACGTAATCGGTTGTATAGCTTATTGAAGTCATCGTCTTACTTGGCCGGCCCCGTTTACGATCGCGTGAGCACCGAGTCACCAACCCTCGACGAGTTAGGAGCAACGAGCAAAATGAACCTCGCCCCCTCGATTACTCCGCCACCGGGATAACCTGCACAAAAGCTGGCGCACGGACAATCGACAGTTCTTCTTCTTTCGTACGGCTGCTGATGTAGACGCGGAGCAACAACAACCACGGTTTCACACCGAGGTGGTCAAGCCAGATAATCGGCGTCAGGAGCAGCGGAGGGTATCGCCGTGACGTCTCCTTCGTAGTTGTGGATCCGGAGTCGCGTCGTTGTACATTGTAACGGGTCGGTTAACTCGACTGTGCGTGCGTGTTGTTTCCCGTTATGGCGGTGTTAACGATGGCCTTTCATCGCCACGCGTCAACCGCAACCCGGTGACAAAAAGGCGACGAGATGAGCCCGTGGCCTCTTGCCGGTACAGGCAACGGTGACGTCGTCGCGGCAGCTGGGCGACTCACGCATCGGCCCCGGCGTCCACCGCCTCGTAAACCTCGAAGTGGAAACGGAATCCCTCGTTCTCGTGAATTCCCTCGGGCACGCCAGGAAACCTGCACACGTGCGCGGAAACCATCACCCCCACACGGGGTGAAGAGCAGGACGGACGCGGCGCGGACAAACATCCCCAACGCTCACCGCGGCCCGCGTTCGAGGTTGCGCCGCATGTCGTTCGGCAAGAAGAAGAAGAAGCGGCTCCCGGCACGTGGAGCTATCGTGATTGTCGTCAGCAATCTAACGATCAGGCACGGAATGATTTATCCCCAAGGCAGGGACCGGAGAGACTCCAGCACAGACGTAACAACAGAGGATTCTGCTGCTGTGCTTCCCTGTCCTGCCGGCCACACAAACCCCCCATTTATAGCAACCCGTTACACGCAGGGTGGTCGTCCTTCCGAGCATTGAGCAGGCCCAAGCCTGCTTAACTTAGCTCCCACAGATCTGATGAGATCAGGCGCACTCCGGGTGATTAGGTGACGGGGCCGCAGAAAAATAAGCGAACGGAAAATAAATAAAACGCGGGCAAAACGTGTTTGCCCCCGTTTTGTCTCAGCGAGCGCCTATTTTGACGGCACCACAACACAAGCCGTCGATTGGGACCGGCACAATTTTTTTTTTAAATCACAACCGGCAACAGCATCACGTTCCCGACAACGGGGCAACCGGTTTCAGTCCGAGTCGACCTAGCGGGGAGTCTAAGCCAAATTTAGATAACCCCCGCCCCTCACACACAGCAGGATAGCTCGCACGCACGCGCATGCATTAACACGCGTGCGCAGGGCGCGTACGTCAATAGCCGGCTATTTATAACCCCATGAATATTACACCTGCACCCGGCGCACGTGTACCCGCGAGTGTGGGCGCGTGTGCATTTAGCGGGCGCGTGTGCATTTAGCGGACGCAGGGCATGTGCGTGGTATGTGATGTGTGTTTAGAGCATTTATAATGGGTGTAAACAGCATCAAGGGTGTGACGACGCATACAGACCCACGGACATAAAAAAAACGAGTCTTGAGGCTCACGATACTACGCACTAAATCGCGTGTACGTGCATATTAATGTGTGTAAATAATATAAGTGTAGACGTGGCAAATGTGTGTTTGCGTAAATGTAACTGTACGTGTGTGTATATGTGAGTATGTACGAATGCAACAAGGGTCATAATTCATGGATTAAATCATTAAAACATATTCTTACACTCATTATTATACATTATTGAATCGTGCACGTAAACGTCAATAATTCATGATGTATGAGAAATAATACGCTGCTACGTTTGGGATAACGAAGCTCAGTAAAACCGTGCAAGTTACACGGAACATCATACAAATAATGTAAACGCGACTGCAACAATGAGACAAATAACAATCAATTGTTGAACCGTACGTAGCAAGACCCCAAATTTAAACCGCGTGCTGATAGAACACAACGGATTCATACTCCGTCGTACACGTTACGTGTATGTACACACTTGTGACCAAATCACTCTGAACGCATCACATCTCGGAATACAGCGCAAGCGTTGTACTGTACTCCCATGCTCCCGCACGTATGCTGCCTCGCCAGGGCTGGTGTGGGGCCCGGAGCAAACACCACCGTGTTGGCCCGACGCCGTCAAGCTTAACGGGAAGTGTCGTGTCCGGCTCTGCTGCCCGCCTTCATCGACGCGCACTCTGACCCGGAGTGGAGAAGAAGGGTCCAACAACCCCCAAGCCCCACGTGGCATGGGAAGGCCCTCATACCAACAGTGGACCGACATGTACTGTACAAGTATGCAGTCTGCGTACAGTATATGCAAGCAAAAGGGATGCTTTCCGGATTCCAGATAATCAAAATGCGAAAAAAAAACAAACCCATAATTGCACCTAGAGATATACATTTTTAAATAATCCAGAAAACTTGTTGTTTCAGATTGATCGGAAAAAAAAATCGCGTCAAGGGAAATGACATCACTCCTATTGGGTCACCTCCGTACTTTTCCCACTAATGGTGTCGTCAAGTCTCATCGGGGCGATTTCACTTTCGTTTGCCAAGAGGACGCATTGAATTTACTACGTGCACGATCCTAAATTCTGAAGAGGGAAAAAAATGACAATCAGAAAAAGCTGACCTTACAAATCTGAACACCACGTTTCTTTTTATCCAAATCCCGAGTGTGTGCACACACACATAGGTACGGTATGATCCGTAAATACACATGTAGTGTGCCCCCAGCGTGTTCATGTGATCCTTTGGATTGTTTAATTGTAATTGGAATTAATAGACAATGTTTTTTTTTTGCAAAGGACGCCCTTTCTTCGTCCAAGCAATTAATAACCGCAAATTTACGCCGCACTACAATAAATGAGCAAGCCCGGCATTTGCCTTTCAATTTAATCGGAGAAGATGGTGGGGGAGAAATGTGCGGCAACGGGACTCATCTGCAGCCCGAATAACGTTTTTTTTTTTTAAAAAAGGAAGATGAAGATTCATGAAAAAAAAGGTATCAAATTTTGATTTAAAGCTTTCGTGACTGCAGTAATTCATATTCTTAGCTCTTTCGGTAAAGTCACGTTGAAGGGAAACAATAAAATAATAAAATATATAAAACAATAAAAAATTCTCACGACGTTTCGACCATAACGCAAACAGTGATGATCACCGTTTGTGTTATGGTCGAAACGTCGTGAGAATTTTTTAGTGTTTTATATATATTTTATTATTTTATTGTTTCCCTTCAACGTGACTTTACCGAAAGAGCTAAGAATATAAAGGTATCAAAGTTACAGAAGAACACCGCTTCCACACCGGCAACATTTATGACGCCCTGCTGGGATGCTGCCGAGCCCGCAGCTCGAGTGCAGCTTCCCCAAAACGTGGTGACAGGGTTGTTGTTGTTTTTAACAAATTGTACCAATTGATACTTGTACAGTCTTTTTATTATTTTTCTATCTACGTCGCTTTACCGAAAGACCCAAAGAATACTTGTACACCCCTTTTGTCCGATCCACCGCTGGAAGACAGCGTCTCCACACAGGCAGAGTACAACAATGCATTTCGTTGCATGGCCAACCAGAGAACCTACGACAGCCAGTGTGTGAACGGTCATCACCCATGCAAATATTAGCCAGGCTCAACTCGTGCTTATCTTCGGAGACCTCTTGAATTGGGCACATTCCGGGCGATTACAAAAAGCTTCCGGGAGCAACAGAGAAAAATAATAAATGGCGTCGATGCGTAATTAAATCAAGGCCAACGACAACAATGAGCAGGGGCAGCGTGCCTCGTCGATCGCTTAACACGGCACGGCAGAGAGCATGCGAGCTCGTGAGTTAAACGGGGAGATGAGAGAGGTAATCCGGATGGGGAGGGAGGGGAGAAAGAGGAGAGAGCAGGGCGCAGGAGAAACTAGGCTTCGACGGGGGAATGAAAATTTAATTATCGCCAGCTCCCTTTGTGATTCGTGTCGTCTAAATTTAGCCTTCCTCGTGCAGCCACTTCCTTGCTTGTCCACCCGCATCCCTCCCTCCCTCCCTCCCCCCTACCTTACCACCACCCCCTCCGCCACCCCACCTTGCCGTCTTTATCTCCCAGAAGCCAAGACAGCCGGGTCAACCTCCACCCCCCCCCCAGCCCTGCTGCTGTAAATGTCTCAGCACCTCTGCCGACAGAAATGTCACGCGAGCGGGGACTGTAGCGCTACTGCGAGGAGGCTGGGTGGCTCCGTAGGAGCAGGCACTGCGGTTCGTGAACCAGACACAGGTTCGTGATTAAACCGGTTCTCAGGTGTAGAGCGGAGGTAAGAGCCTTGGCCAGGTCACTATTGACATACACAGAGACCTCCATAAAAAAAAAGATCCTCCTTAGAGCCTTAGCAGACTGTTGGGGCAAGTGCCGTGAGCGACCAGCTCCTATGAAGGCCGGCACAGCACACGAGGGGGTGGGTGGCCAGCACCACGCCCGGCCGCCTTTGTCTCCCCATTGGCGATGTTTACACACCACACCATGTACTCATCTGAAGCTGAGTCGACCTAGGGGAGGCCCAGGACCAGTTCAAATATTTGCCAGTTATTCATCGTGAGCGGGAATCAAACTTGGGTCGCCGGGTTCGTAGCGCAATGCGCTAACCGCTACACCACCGCTCCCCATTCAGAGACCCCCCATCAACTCACGTAGAGGCCCATACACCTGCCCAGAGACCCATAGACGGGCAGAGACCAGGGTTGTAATTAAACTGGGGTTTTTTAAGTGGAGAGAGTTGATGGTTTTGGCCTGGTTTTCCACTGAGTACACAAAACAATCCTCAATAAATTAGTAATTGTTTTCACTTCAGTATAATTCTTCTGGAAATAGAAATAAATAAACTGTATTTGACATTTGATGCACACTCTTTTGCAGGGCATAAAATAGCTGTGCCCCCAGTGTGGATAGAAAGGTCAATTCAATCGACGTCAGAAGTAGTTCTGGGACATCAACTTTCCGGGATGTGATCTCGCATGGGGTGTGGTACACTGCGAAATGCCAGAGCTCTTGATACCAAAAGCAAACGACGTGGAATATATTTTGGGGGGGGGGGGGGGGGGGGGGGGAATAGAAATTTAAATTTTTCTGATTACAAACACCACCTCTGGCATTCACTAATGCTACCTAATAACAAACAAATATAACGGAGACATTAAAACAGCAAGTAGGACATTTGTATTTAAAGCTTTCGTGACTGCAGGGATTCATCGGTAAAGTCACGTAGAAGGGAAACAATACAATAAAAAAATACAAAAATATAAAACAAAATTATCACGACGTTTTGACTGCAACACAAGCAACCATCATCAGGTGTGAAAAACACAGCAAGAAAAAATTAAAACATTTTCTTGCTGTGGTTTTTACACCTCATGATGATTGCTTGTGTTGCAGTCGAAACGTCGTGAGAATTTTATTGTTTTATATTTTTGTTATTTTGTTTCCCTTCTACGTGACTTTACCGAAAGAACCAAGAATAAGCAAGTAGGTAGTCAAATATTGGTAAATTGCAAGAGCAAGACGAAACTGTAACACATGACAAGAGAATCATGAAACAAGTAGAATAAATATATGCAGATCTTTAAAGCCAACACCAAAACATATATCAGGTGAGCAGCGGGATTTTTCAGATGTCACATGTGAAGGGGTAATCACTGCCCTTCACAGTACGACAAAGTGTAAAAGCTGCCAGAATCAATGAGATTATTAAATACAATTATTACACAGACGTCTAACTAAAGGGAGTAAAGTGGTGGAATGGCGTTATGAATCAGAATATTTTACATCCGGTGAAACGCGTTTCATCACCAGATGACGCTTTCCAAAATCATTCTATCCCGTTCCCGCCGTCTCTTCCGTTCATTTGACTCTGGTCCGCCTTCAGCAATCGCCCGATGGCGCGAGCCCTCGTTTGAACGCGCTAGAGACGCGCTGCCGAAAAGTTCCGCTCCAATGCGCAAAAACGCGTACGGCCAAAACAGGTTTCCCCATGAACAGTACTACGATAAAAGTTTGGCGAGATACGATGTACGCACGCACGCATGCGCGCGCAATGAGATGGCGGAAGAACTAAGGGTACGCTGCCGCATACCGTATCACTCCGCGTACTGTATCGTACCGCTCAGCCGCGCAGCTCAAGAAAGTAGTTTGTCATCGACCACTCAGAAACCGCGTTGCTAAGGTGCGCGTTCCGCGTTGTTACGGTGCGCGTTCCGCCAGTGTTAGAATGTTTTTTTTTTTACTTAAGTTATCAAAATAACTTTATAAAATGTTTGAATGTTTGGTCAAATGATTGGCTCCTAATTAGGGTTTATCATCCCAACAATCGTCATCTACATTCGTTATCGTCATCGACAGGAATTGTAAATCATTATCACTGCCACCACCACTGCCACCATCATAGTCAACCACCACCATGATCCCTCTCGTGGTGTCTAAATCGAGCACAAATTGGTGACACTACATCACTTGGCGCAGGGGCAATAAACGGTGCTCATCTTACGGGACAATAACCGGCTCCCGTCACGGGAACGTTGAATTTCCAGCACTAGCTCACTGCCTTCAATGGAAGGGCCGCCACACCACCCAATTTTTGGGACACTCATTCGGGCCGGGAGAAGACGCCGTGACATTTCCGTTGGATGAGGACGCCCACGCACGTACGCAGCCACCCACCCCGGCAGGAGCTTGAACTTGTCAGCATCGATGTCTGGGAAGAAGGCGTCAGCCTCCATTGTCTGCAGGACACGCGTGATGAAAAGGCGTCTGCACGCACTGTGCTCCATGGCCTCCTACGCGGGAGCGGGGTGGGGGGTAGATGGGGGGGAGGGATTGAAGGGGGGAGGAAGGGGAGGAGAGAGGGCAGGGGAGCGGTGTAAATACGAACACGGCGGCGTTAGCCACACACCGGCAAACAAACGGCTAACGATCGGAGGATAGAGCCATTAACATTCTGCGCGGGCTCCACCTTCGATTGTCCCAGCCGTGAAACGTAAAGAAAATTCACAAGTCTTAACCGTGGTGTACGTTACAGACTGCAGTATAGGAGAGTAGCTTATCAAGGGCTCTCCAGAGCTCCCTCTAGGCGTGGCCATTCTGCCAGCAGCGGCGCGAGTGAGCAATTGCAGGGCTGCACCTTTACACTTTAGCCGCTGTCGGCGGTCGCCGATTGTGTGCTCGCGAGTGAGGTCATCACAGCACCACTGTAGCGATCGCCACCACATCGATCAAGGCACAGCGAATGTGCACTCGCCGCTCGTCGCGGAGGTGACGCGGCTCAAACCCGGCAGGCAGCCCCGGTTGATACTGCGGGTGAATCAACCGTGGATACGTTGCGGTCTGCTTCCCAACGTACGTTAAATATTCTGTGACGTCATTAAAAGGAGGCCATCGTGTGCCGGCGTCAAGATCTAAATTTGGCAAAATTTTTTTTTTTTAAGCATGACTCTCAAATAACTATTGGGAACAAAGTTGCAAATTGTTGCACCCGACTGAGAAAGCTTGGCAGGATTATCCTGAAAGAAAGTCTTGGGACTCCTGTGAGGCTTTCCTGGGTAAGAAATCAGAATACAAATAATCATCATCAGGCATGCACAACAATTCACCCCGTGGTTCCATTCAAGAATAATGTTTTGTCTTTTATTTGCACGGCTTTTGTTCTGTCTCATCTGCCGAGTCTCCTGTATTCCATTATCCTAAATAAACATTCGCGTAGAATTTTGTATTACTCGCAAATAATCGACGCATTCAAGAATATTAACGTGACTGTTTAATTACAATCCACACAAGGTTTCCAAAACTGCTGTACCGACACAATCCCGATTATTTGTGATGTCTACGTTACAGATATGGTAGTGGGGTCATGTTTGGCACGAATTCTGCAGTGAGCTGCTCACATTATTCACAATGATAATGGCGCTTAAGAATGCTTGTTCGCGTGTACAAAATTACAAACAATACACAGACTCATTGCGTGCAGTGTGTGAATGTGGGTGGGTGTAGATGCGCGTTTGTGGGTGTGTAGCGGTTAGCGCGCTGCCCTACGAACCTGGCGATCAGGGTTCGATTCCCGTTCACGGCCAACCACAACTGACGATTATCTGAACCGGTCCTGGGCCTCCCCTAGGTCGACTCAATCTCAAATGAGTACCTGGTGGGATGTGTAAACATCGCCATTAGGGAGACAAAGGCGGCCGGGCATGGTGTTGGCCACCCACCCCCTCGTGTGCCGTGCTGGCCTTCATATGTGCTCGCTAACAGCACTTGCCCAAACAGTCTGTTAAGATTATACAGGGGAGCTTTGTTTTGTATGCGAGTTTGTGGGTGTGAGGGGGGGGGGGGGAAGAGCGGTGGCGCAGTGGTTAGCGTCCTGTGCTACGAACCCGGAGACCCGAGTTCGATTCCTGCTCATGGCCAACAAGAGTGACGATTATCTGTACCAACCCTCTGCCTCCCCTAATTCTAATTCTGAGTACCTGGGGTATAAACGGCAGCATTGGGAAGTGAAATGCGGCAATGTATAGTGGCTGAACACATCACCCCCTCGTGCTTTGTGCCAGACTGAATGGGCGCTCGCAAACAACACTTGGTCAAACGGTCTTTATGGCTACACGGGATGTGTGTGGGTAATGCATGTACGTATGCATGCATGTATGCAAACATATATAAGTAAAGTGCAATTGCATGCATTATTAATTCATTGTTTGGTTCGTCAGGGGTGCCAGGAGGAGAAATTAATTGGGAATGCGGTCGGCTGTGATTGTGCGAGTCTCCTGTGTCGAGGTGCAACAAAGGAGTTTTAAGACAGTGACAGCCTCCTTGCATCAATGTGCGATCGTCACAAACACTTTCCTGGGCAAGTAAATAAAATAAATAATGTCTCACAATTTAACCCTTTTAACGCCACGGGATGGAGTGATGTTCCCAGCATTACCGCACTGCGCCACCGTGAGCCCCGGTGACCGAGTTTGATTCTTATCTTTTCTCAACCTAATTCATATAGCCCCTTAACCAATGAGTGATAGCCATACCATGAGAGTGTGAAGAGGGGACCGTAACGGGGGTGGTGGTTATGAGGAGGAGATTAAGGGGTCGCAGGGTGAGCCAGGGAACAATAAGTGAGTTTCGAGTGAGGAGCGGAAACTAGTGAGCGAAGGTGACTGCTTAATGTAGAGGGGGGAAGTGAGTTCCAGTGGCGGGGGTGAGCGAGTATAGAAAAAGAGCGAAAGCGTGATTGGGCGCAAGGAGGAGGAACAGAGAGAGATAGCAAAGATTGAGAGCGTAGAGGGCTTGGTGGCACGTAGAATCCCGTGCATAGTTCACGTCACTGGACAGCGATATCCGAACTGGTTCGGTGCACCCACCCGCCGCCTTGACAAAACTGCACTGACAAGTGTGGTGAAGTATGGTAAAATAAAAAAAAACCCTCCCAAGACCAACACGTCGTCGGAAGCTCTTCTTCCACCTTTAAGACCGAAAAACGGTTGTTCTCGTAGACAGCAAACAATCTAATTAAAAAAAATATATCTTTAAAGATACTGCACATTAAATTAGAGGGGAAAAAATACACAAACGGCTGAGCAATTAAAAGGGCATGACTCCAAGTAGAATTGCTAATGACGGGACGGCCAAAATGCCGTATCTGTGCAATTTAGCGGAGGAATCTGCCGCCTGCGACGGGGGAATATGCAAATATGGAAACCACACGGTGAACCATCGTGATCCTCGGTTAAATTCAGTGGAGACAATCCGGTCAGCTTCCCGAGAGAACTGCGCTTTGGCTGTCAGACCTGGACACGGGAGTTACACAAAGCAATTCGATATGTTGGGATGTGATTGTGTGAACGTCGAAGGGTCTGCCTGCTCAAATGATTGCGGGACAGGTCTCGTCTGTTGTGTAGGCGGTCGTGAGCCAGGGGTTAGAAGAACGCAGGAAGAGGAGCACTGGCTGCCTCCTCCGGTCAGCGGGAAATACAGCAGTCGCCTAATTATGGCTGTGGTGAAGAACGAGACTAAGTCTGTCAACCCACGGCACCTGGGTCTGTCCCGTGACATCTTGTCAGCGAGCCTTCAACATTTCACGTGGCCTCAAAGTGCACGTGGCCTGGCACAGGCGCCGTGGTGACGTCACTGCCACTTCGTGGCGAATGGCGGATGCTGTTGTTGTTAAGTAAAGCTTTCCTGGGTCAACAATCATAATAATAGGTGGACAGAGATGTGTACATGATGGAAACAAGGATTACTGTTGCCGAATCCTGGTTTCAGAACCAAAAGCATGACTTCTATTCCACCCTGCTGACTTGTGTCCATACCTCTGACTTGTGTTAGCGACGCACTGCATGAATTTGATCCACGTTATGAATCATGATTATTATTATTACTACAGTGACTTCAGTAAACTCAACCAACGCTGGGAAAAATGTGACACGGTCTAATAGAGCTCGGCTCTCCGATTATCAAGTAACAGATTACCAATTACATTTGATTGACTAATCAGATAACGATGAAATCAAAGTCTAATCCCTGTCACCACGTGTGTCGCTGAACGGGAGGTGATGTTCGGTGGCTTTGATGACATCATGTCGCATTGGCAGCGCCACGTAGGGAGTTTTTTTTTTGCCTTCAGCAAGCAGGCTGTGAAAACTCATTTCTTTCGAACTGCTTTTTGTGTGCAGTTTGTTGTCCTTCCCGCGCACCTCCGATCAGCACGGTTGGCTATGTACGGTGCGAAAGCTGTTCAACATACATACGTAGCTGCCATTCCAAGGGGCCCGAGTGATTGATAACAAAGTGAACGTTGCCGATTATTCTATTCCATCGACATATCATCCTGACTCTTTTGGCTAGACACTTCAAGCACCAACGTCTTGACCAAGTTTCGTTGCTTTAGTGCCCTTTCTTCACGATCGAGGGAAACCAAACGTGTCGACAACCACCTTGCAGCCAACATCCGAAACACGGAGATCGTGCAGAGACTGGATCTACAATATCCTAACTTCACGTCGCCAGCGCAGGGTGGTGCACTGCTCACTGAGAGAGTCCCACGCGGACACGTTTTCCCTTTTCGCGACGCGAAGCCGTAATCGGATTACATTTGGGGAAAATGACCCCAAAAAATGTATAAAAAATTAGAACATTCAACGGCATTGTCATGCTCACGACGCTGGAGCTGGTGGCTGCAAAATCCATCCGGCAACGCTAATTAGCACGATTTAATGGCGCAGGAAATAATGACTCCTCGCTAACGAGGACAGGGTGGGGTGAGGAGGCTTTGGTGGGGGGGGGGAGGGGGGGGGGAGGACTGGCGGGGCCGACCTGCTTTTGCTTTGCTCTCCCATCGTTAATTAGATGGAGCGATCGTACGTGCGGCCCGACCGTTGAGATTTATGCCCAGCCCGAGATATTGCCGGAGCGCATTAATGACCGTCCCTGGACCCTACGTGAGCAGGTGCGCGAGCGAGCTCTGGAGGGATTCTGCGGAAGGAGAGATCGTTCTGGAAGGAAGTGGAAAACGCATAGTTAATTTTGTTCTTTATTTTATTGACGCTGTTTTAAAATAACCTGTTGTGAAAATAAAGGGCCCCGTGAGGATTAAGATGGATGAAAGCCCAAGCCTGGTGTTTAACCGAGGTTAGGTTCAGCCGGCAACATTGAGATCCTGGGTTCCGGAGTCATGTTTCAGCCGCCAAACTGCGCTTGAACCAGGTTCTCAAGCGTAGCAAGTTGCTGGTCTTAGCCGGGACATCAATGATTCGCACAGAGACGCACAGACTCGTACAGTGACTTGCAGACT